TGATCGGGGCTACGAGATCATCAGCTTCGCGGAGCCAGGTGGGTGCGCGGGACCCGCGAGCGGCCGGGGACGACCCCTGGGGTCGCCCACACGCGGCCGTTGAGGGCCAGGGCCACCGAGAGGGCTCGGGAGAGATGGGCTGCGCCCGGGGACAGATTGCGGGAGACCTTGGGCAGGTCGCTGCTGGGCCGACCCCTGGGGGCAGGGTCTTTTTGCCTTGGGCTGGTGGAGACCCTCAAGGATGCGCAGACCCTGAACCTCAAGGCACTGCAGCATTTCTGGGGCCAGGGTCCCGGCCATCTGCCTCCTTGCAGTGGGGTCAGGGTGCCTGGAGCCATGCAGGCTGCGATTAAATCATTGGTGGCAGCGCAGCGCTGCTGATGCAGCAAAGCTCAGCCTAGGAGAAGGAGACGTGGTCCCTCTTCTTCATTGGCCAGTAGGGACCTGACACCTGAAGTGTTGCGATGCCTGTACCCATCCTGAAGGATGGGGGCAACGCGGGGGGGGCTGCATGTGGCTGGAAACACTCTCCAGCCTTGCAGTGTGCAAGCAAAGGGAAAAAGCCAGAAGGGGCAAGGTGGGAGCAAGTATACCCTTCTGTGCCCATTCTGCCAGGTAGGGTGGGACAGTCCCCCATTCCAACTCCACTCCCCCCCCGTGGAAGCATTCCCAAGGAAGGGAGAGGGACAGACTGAGGGGCCTGTAGAGGGAGGGAAGGTTGTAGGTCTTTCTTGAGAAGAAGCTGAAAGAGATTGACCTTAATGTGCAGGATGGTGGTGCAGCCTTACCTTCCCTAGCATCCTGCACCATTCATCTCCTCATCACTTTTTTTCCCATCAGAGCCCATGTCTTCCTCTGGCTTGGGGCTGCAGTTCCAGTTCAGCGATATGCAAGACCAGGACATTCATATCCTTCAGGCTCAGCTTTGGCTCTATCTTCGAGTTCCCCAAGACGTGGTAGCCAGCCTCACCCTGAGAATCTTCCTTGCTGGTGAGGAAGGTGATTTGGTGGGAGGCAATCGCACATTGCTGAGCGAGAGGCGACTGAGTGCTAAGGGCAGTGGCTGGCGTGCCTTCACCCTCACGCCTGCCATGCAGAGGTTCTTTGGGGGAAGGCGCAGGACCCTGCGGCTAGAACTGGAAAGCCATGGGGACAGGGGTGATATAACAGCAATAGTTAATGCCAGCTGGTCCCATCAGCCCTTCTTGGTGGCCGAAGCAAAGGTGCAGGACCCAGGACACCATGTGGCCAAGCGCAGCCTCCGCTGCAGTCAGAACTCCAACTTCTGCTGCCGCAAGGACTACTACGTGGATTTCCGAGACATCGGTTGGAACGACTGGATCATTAAGCCTGAGGGCTATCAGATAAACTACTGTGTGGGCCAATGCCCTATGCATGTGGCAGGCAGCCCTGGGATGGCCTCTTCTTTCCACACAGCTGTCTTCAACCTTGTCAAAGCTAACAACATCCAGGCATCGGGGCACTCTTGTTGTGTGCCCACACGACGACGCCCGCTCTCTGTCCTCTACTTTGATCGCAATAGCAATATTGTCAAGACCGACATCCCTGACATGATTGTTGATGCCTGTGGCTGTAGCTAGGGTTTGGGGAGCTGTTCTGGGTACCCTCCTTCGCCAGAACTGTCTTGGGGCGGGAGGGGGGGTAGGTGGGATGGAGCTGGAGTCAGACCATGGTGCAATTTTCCCCCTTTGGAAAGAGAGGGAGGGAGAAGGTCTCATCAGAAGGAGCAGGGGTTGTTGCCAGATAGTACCCGGTAAAGAGTTCTCTGGGGGACAGAGCCTAGGCCACATAAGACTACCTGAATCTGAGCTGTGCGTGGTTGGTGACTCTGGGCATCCATGCCCTAACTGGCAGCATCCCTCCGTTCCTAAGTTGATCCCACATTTCTGGTGGTTGTGTTAATCTCTGTGTGTGGGGTGAGGGGCCTCTGCTTTGTTCACATCGAGAGTGTTTGGTGACAACTTGGGACTCAGCCTCCTTGAGAGCAGAGTAGGATGTGGGAAAGGGTCTGTTTCCTCCAAGTGAGAAACGTGAGGATGAGAGGCAGTCCCACTTTTCTCCCCTACTTTGGGCCTGTTGTTTGGGACAGGTTGAATGAGGCACAAATAACGGGCCTGGAAGATAAGGATGAAGGGTATGACTTTGTCAAGAAGACCAAAACTGCAATGACTGGACATAGTCCTCTGCTCCCAGAAGGGCATGGAGCTGTGAAGGATGACCTTGCTTCCTAGCCAGTTATTTTTTTTTTTCCCTTTCATTTTCCTGAGTTTTGTGGTTTTCTTCCCTGCCCACCCCACAGTCAGGTCTTTTCTAGCCCAGTGTCTCCTTAAAAGGAGGTCTGACTCAGACTTTGCCTTTAAGACCATACTAAAGGTATTTACCTCTAGTTTTACAGCTATTACTACTTACACAGTAGAGGTCTCTTCAGCTGTTGGGACTCCCTGGTGCTCCATCCTGTCTACTCACCACTCTACTGAAGATCCCACTCTGCCTTTGCCTTCCTGACACTCATGTATGCAATGCATCCATGAGGCCTGTGCTTTTAATTTATTTTAATACTTTGGTACAGCTTCCCCAATAAATGGGTGGAAATGCAACATCCAGGCTCTGACTGCTTTCTCCTGGCACCACCTGAGTTAATGGGGTGGGGAAAATGGTCCTGCTTTGCCAGAAGGTCCTACTTCTGGGCTGGCCCCCTCAGGCTTTGGCTGGGGAGGATGTTGGGTTCTGGGGCTGGAGCAGTGCAGGAGCTGCAAGCCATTATCAGCTTTGGGCAGCACTGCTGTGCTGGGATGTGAGAGGAGCTGTAGTGCTTCTAGGGCTCCCTGACTACTATGGGGTGTTGCACGCTGAGACCCTGTGTTAGCAGGGCTATGCAGGGGGCTCTTCCCCCTGGATGGGAGACTCAGGAATAGGGCAGGGCCTGGGAACTGAGTGCCACCTCACTGGGGGCTGGAGAAGGATGGCCTGTAATATGAGCATCAAAGAAGCTGTTTCCCATCAGGGCAGGTACTGCTGGGGGGCATAACCCAACCTGAAGATGCTGTTCTCCACCTGGATCAGTCCTGAATGAGCTCAAAATACCACAGCTCTGGAGCTACAGTCCGCCCCCCAAATCCTGTGCCTGCATTGTAAATAGCAGAGATTGTACCCTAGTCATGCCTCACTGACCTCCCCAATCCCTTCTCCTGTGCTCTCCTAACCACCACTCAGTGGCCCCAGTCTCAACCCCATAGCAGCCAGCCACAGAATCTGGCTATGCCCAAGCTTCTGGATGATGGGGAGTCTCCTGCATAATTTGGGGTAGGAAGCTTCAGGAGTGGGAGACAATGCCCCCTGCTCATCCGTCTGGGATCCCACATGGCTTGCTTGGGTCCTTGTTGCGCAAGCATTCGCTCAAAGCTCAGTTTGGGGCCCTTTTATCTGGGGACAACCCCACTTGCTTTCCCAGCTTGACCCTGTGCTGCACCCTGCAAGCGGACAAAGGGCAGCTTTCATCAGCCGGCCACAGTGGGCATCCCCCCAGGCTGCAGGGGCAGCATGGCCATTACCCATAATCCTCAAAATATGTCCACCTGTGGGGAAAAGCTGACTGCACCTGCAGGATGCTTCAGTCTTCTGGGCACTCCCACAGCCCCAGCCACATGCATTGCCAACACACCAGGATAATTTGCTGGTATACATGCCTCCAGGAGCATGTGCTGCCATGCACATGCTGAGAGTTGCAGGCATGAATTTCAGGTAAGCACGCAGGGATGTGCACAGTTGAATTAGAGTCTCTCTGCTTCCTGTGTTGACAGTCTTGCTCTAGTCAATGCAACTAGTGGGGGGCAGGCGGAGAAGCATCCCACAAAGATGCCAGGTATCATGTTTTCCCTTGCAAACAACACAGTCTTCCCTGTTGTACTGACTGTGTTTCCATGTGTCTCTGGGGAGATTGTCCACAGGCGTGTGCACGATGTGCTGACTCACTGACACACTGACCCACCAGCCCAGACCTGAAATGCTGAGCTGGCTGTGGTGGCACTGTTAAGTCTTTAATCTGGGTGATCATCTGAGCCGCTTTAACTTTCCTAAACAGGAGGCCAATATTAACCATGGGGTGGAAGACGTTGCAAGGTTGGGAGTGTGGCAGTTGAGAGCCACTGGTGGGGGGGACCTAATTAAGCATTGTTTCCACCCAGGAGGCTCAAAGATAGCGACAAAATGGACCTACGCCTGTCTGCCATAGTTGGCCCCTTGTCAAGTGGTGGGTGGTCTTGGGGCAAGTCCGCAAACCCCAGGATGCAGTGGTGTGGGTGGCTGGGCTGGCCCTTCACGGTGCCCAGTGCCTTGGCAGGCCTTTCCTGACAGCTTAGCTGGGGTCACACTCAGCTCAGGAGTAAATCTGCTGAGCCGCTTATGCCTATTACAAAATGGGTATACAGGCAACCCCTCTCACCTGCACTCACCACCTCGGCCCTGCCTTAGCGCTAATGCTGTGGGACTCAATCCACTGCAGCAGTCTGGAAGCACCCCAGAAGACACAGCAAGCTGTTCTCCCGCGTGCCAGAAGAAGGAGGGAACTGTGCAGACATCACCACCTCTCCTGTGTGCATGGGCCTCCTGGGGGAGCAGAGACACTCCTCACCCCTTGCTGTGTTGGGGATAGCTGCCAGGGAAATGAACTAATCTCAGACTAGGACAGGGAAGGGAAATTGAGGCAGGGAACAGTCTTTTGCAGGCCATGGCTGGTAGCTGACGTATCTCCTGAAATCTCTCTCACTGTAATCCCCATGTTGTCCCTCTGCTCTGGGGGACCCATACAGCCAGTGGAGAGGGTATTTCCCAGAGCTGTGGCATGAGTCATGCCACAAAGCTACTCTTGTGGTATACTAGACATCTGCGGTGCATAATGACACACAGGGGCACTGGGAGGACAGGCTAATGCTGAGGAAGGCAGAGGGCCCACAGAGGTGGTAATCCTACTAAGAGGCTCTGATGTCAGGCTGGGCATGTGGCACAGCTCCTATCACCTTTGAAGCTTACACTAGACACAGGCAGCATCATCCTGGAGAGCAGGATGGAGCTCACAGGAGCTGTGAGCAGCTGAGCACTGGGGCAGGGTGAGAATGATCATGTTCCCAAGAGAAGTGCATCTGGGGTCAGCTGTGGAGCTGACCATGAACAGGGTGTGGAAGCGCTCCCTCCAAGTAGGCTCTCCTCTTGCAGGAGCACCCAGGAACAGCCCTTTGCCATGCCATGCCCCACTCCTCCAGCCCTCGTGGTCCCCTTGTCCTGTCTGCTCCAGGCTGCAAGGCTTCGTGAGGCCACCATCTCAGGCGTGGAATTCTCATGGTGCTGTCCAGACAGGGGGTTCATAGCTTTGAACTCAAGTTCTCAGCAGTCACGGAGTGAGGACTAGGGCAGACAAAGAGAGGGGGCAGAGCTGCATGAAGGAGCAGAGTCCCCAGGCCTAAAGAGGTCTGAAGGAAGTAATGCTGCCTCCCCACTGTGCCCTGCTGACATTGACCCATGCTGTCACGTTCTGGCTAGGGACAGGTGGGCAAAGACCTGTTTCCCTGAAATAGCTGCTTGCACCTAGGGCCAGCCTGGCTCTTCCCCTACATTTAGCCACTGTGGCACAGAGGGGAACTGACCTTCTTTGTAAAAACAAACAACAAAGAAGACCAGAGCTGTTGGGTGAGAAATTAACTTCCTTTTAAGTACTCCTCCTCCCCTCCTCAATCCTTGGAGCTCCCAGGCCCCATTTCTTGCTCTCATTCAGACACTGGCATTCTCTCCTGCTTCCCTTGGTGCAGGTACAACCATTGCTTTGCCTTCCCTTCACATGTGACAGGACCTGGCTATCTGCAGATCCTGAGAGCTAGACTAGGCTAGGCTGTTTCAGGGGAAGGGGCTAGACTCTTTGGGGCATAGGACCCATTTGGTGAAGGGAGCAGAATTCTCTGCAATCTGCTTTCTGAGCTGCTACAGCCCCAGCTCTCTGGTTGCCTTCTATTCAGTGACACAAATGAAACATGAGACTTGACTTTGCCCCCATGGGGATGTACAGCTGTGGTGGCAGCTGTGGAGTATGTGTCTGTATGCAAATGACAATTGCTATCAGGCCCTGCAGTGCATCTTATCCTCACCCTCTCCACCAGTGGTGGCCAGTTGATGCAACGGAGAAACATCTGGATGGTGAATAGCAGACTGAACTACAGGCACTGGTGCCATACTGGGACATGGCTGGGAGAACTGCTAGGATAGCAGTCAGGCTATGGCCATGGGGCAAGCAGCCGTGGGAGCTTTTGGGGTGGGAGAAGGTTTTTTGAGCCACAGATGTGGTAGCTAAACAAGGAACGCATCTGGGGACTTGCCAGGGCAGCCCGACAAGGATTGCTGAGCACCTCAGTGACTTGTAAGATGGGGATGCAGGAGGATTTCCAAGTGGAAATGAGAAGGCTCAGCTCCTTAACCAGCTGAATGGGATCACCTGGAAGAAGGGGAGGACTAGCTTAAGGGGAAGGAAGAGGTTTCAGAGCATGCCCACTGTGGACAAGGTCACCTTAGAGATATAGCTGGCACCTAGCACCTC